ACCTGCTTGCATTTGCCTGACCCACCACACAGATATTGACTGGTGGTTGTTTTCCCTGTCAGCAGATGACACTCAGCAGGAGGGAATGCCTGAAATATCCACCAGTTATTTCCTTAACATCTTCCAGATTAAAACAGGAAAGGCAACACTATTCATCAACCATGATTCTACGGATAGAAGAGGGATCAGACTTCAGGCAGTGCAATTTATGCCAGCATAGTTCTCTGCTGTCTCATAGATTGGAGCTCAGCAGTTTAAGATGTCATCTGCCTGTGCCTCAATGCTCCCCTTTGCTTAGCTTTACTAAACAATCACCTGCCTTAAAATCACGATGGGAAAGCTACATGTAAGAACATTAAAAGTGGCTGGATCAGATTATGGGTCTGTCTGTACTGGTGTGTCCTATGGACCAGGATATCTGTGGTTGATTTTCCCCACTACAGTATTTAAAAATTTGGAACTAGACCACCTGTTCCCATGGAGGGTGCATCTGACTTTTGAAATCCAGGGATGGACATATGCAAATTGGGAAATAATCTGTGGAATAAATAGGGTTCTTTCCCTTTGTCTATAATAAATAGATCTAAATATGGATAGTTCTAAATAGGATAGGATAGGATAGGATAGGATAGGATAGGATAGGATAGGATTAAGAAAAGGGATTTTTAAGTGATATATTTAGGGGAGTGGAGGAAATGGATAGAGTGGAATAAATGTTAAATTAGATTTTATGGGGAAGGCTGCTTTGAAATGTTATAGTAACATATATAGAAGATTAAATGTTAAAGTAGGACTTATCGTATAGTTTTAAAGTGGAGAAGTTATTCTATAATGTTATAGTATAATGTCTTTTTTTTTTTTCCTTTCTTTTCTCTTTTCTGAAATGTATGGATAAAGGGGGATGTTATAATATTAATAATATTTTTAGTAAGTAAAGGTCAATATCTAGAGGAGGGAGTAAGTAATCTGTTATGAATTAGGTTTTTTTTTTTGTTATGAAGAAGTCACAGGGGGGGATGGGTGGGGAGGGGGGGTTAGGGAGGGGGAGGGAGAGGGAGAGGGGAAAAAAAGGGGGAAAATTTGTATTTGAAAACTTTTTCAATAAAAAAAAAAAAAGGTTTCCCAGTTGTTAATGTCCATTCCCAGGGCCTTTAGGTCCCTCTTGCAGATACCCTTATATCACAGCTGTGGTCTCCCTCTGAGGCGCTTTCCCTGCACTAATTCTCCATACAGGAGATCTTTCGGAATCCAACCCTCAGCCATTCTCACGACATGCCCCAGCCAGCGTAGACGTTGCTGTTTCAATAGTGTATACATGCTAGAAATTCCAGCACGTTCCAAGACTGCGTTATTTGGAACTTTGCCCTGCCAGGTGATGCCAAGAATTCGTCGGAGACAGCGCATATGAAAGGTGTTCAACTTTCTCTCCTGCCGTGCGGGGAGAGTCAGCATATTGCCCCCAACAATCTGGGTCCTGCATCCTCAAGGATGCATTTGGGAAACTTGTCAACCCAAGTTGGAGGCCAAGAACCCCCTTGAAATGTTGCTTCCCAGCAACCAATATTTAAGCCTTGCTGCCTCTGCGTCAGAAGGCAGTAAACTGTCATTATTAAGAACATTCATAGCCTGGCCTCCATGAACTTAACTAGACCTCTCCAGATGCTGCCTTTAGCATACCGGCTGATAGCAAATCCCATCGTTTATCATTTGCTTCTCTGTGTGCTGAATCTCCTTCCACCATTCTCTCTGTGTTCCTCTTGCTTTGGGATGTGTGCGATATGCTTCCTTTCTTTTGGGAGGTAGAAGACAATCTGCACAGTGCCACCCAATATATTAACAAATGGAGAGAGCATCGCTTACAAATCTTGGCAGAATCCAACATCACAAATTACTTGGATTTTATTCAAAGAGAAAGCGGGCGCTTCACGATCTTTCATGGCTTTATAATTTATTCCAACAAATGTGGAACACAATGCAGTTTTTTTACCATCCCAGCTTTCTTTCAGTCCTTAGTGGATGTTTTTGGCAGATGGGCATTGATTAATTAATTAGCTCAGCTCCTCCTACCTCCTCCCTTCTGCCCACTGGACTCACAACATCTGGTTCTGCAGAGGGATCATCTGCACCTTTTCACCATTTTCTAAAGGGGCCATCAAGACACGCGCTGGCTCCTTCTATACTCAGACTTAGTGTTCTTTGGATAGAACTCTAAAGTAGTTTTAAAATCAGAATTTAGTGGGAGTGTGCATAGAAGGTCAAATTAAAATGGTAAAGAAAATTGAGTTCTGCCAGTTGCATATTGCTGATTCTGGTACCAATTATCATTTATCATTTTTATACAGCTTTTCCTGAGAAAGGCATTGTCCTTTCTTCACTGGTTTTATTTCTTTGGGCAGTGTAGCTGTCAAGCACAAGAAATCAGAAAATCCAGCAGTTCAAATGAATTTAAAGGTTTATTGCAAGTTTAAAGTCTCTACCAGGGGTGGGTTCTACTTACCTTTACTACCGGTTCGCATTGGGGCCACGCGCTCACGCTTGCTTCACTCGCGCATGCGCAGAAGCATTTTAGTGACGTTGGGTTCGGTGGGCGGAGTCTCCTGCCGGTTTTACTACCGGTTCTATAGAACCGGTGCGAACCGGGGACAACCCACTACTGGTCTCTACAAAAATCTAAACTACTAACGGTCAAAACAAATTGGTGGTAGATAAGAGTCAATGGAATTCAAGATGGGCTGGAGTTAGATCTCGTGTGGGCATGAAGGGAGTCGAGACTGATGACATGTTTGACCCCTCCCTTGGGCTCAGCCTGGTCATCTCCTACACTAGCACTACTGCTACGGAAGCCACATCAGTCTTTCAAGGTAGGCCAGGTCGAGAAACAAACACCAGAGGGATTCCAGACATGCTACCTTATTGTAGGATATCTTCAAAGCCTTTGCTAAGGACAATATTTAACATTTAACATTCTTTCTCACCCTTTCTGCTTTCCTAGGGTTTAGCAACTTTTCGCCTCTTCCTTCCAAAAGCCAGAGCTAAATGCCTCTGCAGCTGGGGTAGTTTTAGAGATGGGTTTCTTTTAGAAGAGTATTAGACCCAGATTACTTAGGCAACTTGACTGGTGGTTTAACCAGCTCATCTAAATACCTGCTTGCATTTGCCTGACCCACCACACAGATATTGACTGGTGGTTGTTTTCCCTGTCAGCAGATGACACTCAGCAGGAGGGAATGCCTGAAATATCCACCAGTTATTTCCTTAACATCTTCCAGATTAAAACAGGAAAGGCAACACTATTCATCAACCATGATTCTACGGATAGAAGAGGGATCAGACTTCAGGCAGTGCAATTTATGCCAGCATAGTTCTCTGCTGTCTCATAGATTGGAGCTCAGCAGTTTAAGATGTCATCTGCCTGTGCCTCAATGCTCCCCTTTGCTTAGCTTTACTAAACAATCACCTGCCTTAAAATCACGATGGGAAAGCTACATGTAAGAACATTAAAAGTGGCTGGATCAGATTATGGGTCTGTCTGTACTGGTGTGTCCTATGGACCAGGATATCTGTGGTTGATTTTCCCCACTACAGTATTTAAAAATTTGGAACTAGACCACCTGTTCCCATGGAGGGTGCATCTGACTTTTGAAATCCAGGGATGGACATATGCAAATTGGGAAATAATCTGTGGAATAAATAGGGTTCTTTCCCTTTGTCTATAATAAATAGATCTAAATATGGATAGTTCTAAATAGGATAGGATAGGATAGGATAGGATAGGATAGGATAGGATAGGATAGGATAGGATAGGATAATAACAGAACTGGAAGGGACCTTGGAGGTCTTCTAGTCCAACCCCCTGTTTAGGCAGGAAACCCTACACCACTTCAGACAAATGGTTATCCAACATCTTCTTTAAAACTTCCAGTGTTGGAGCATTCACAACTTCTGGAGGCAAGTTGTTCTAACTGTCAGAAAAGTTCTCCTTAGTTCTAAGTTGCTTCTCTCCTTGATTAGTTTCCACCCATTGCTTCTTGTCCTACCCTCAGGTGCTTTGGAGAATTGCTTGACTCCCTCTTCTTTGTGGCAGACCCTGAGATACTGGAACACTGCTATCATGTCACCCCTAGTCCTTCTTCCCATCAAACTAGACATACCCAGTTCCAGCAACTGGTTCTTCATGTTTTAGCCTCCAGTCCCCTAATCATCTTTGTTGCTCTTCTCTGTGCTCTTTCTTTTTTAATATAGGAGGTGATCTGCAGAGAAGAGACCAGGAGATCTGTCCAGTCTAGCAATCTGAGTTCATAGACTGGGCAACAAGATGCCTTTTCAAAGTTCAGTAGAACATTCCCCTCATCCCACCTTCAATAATTATCTGTCTCTATCAAGGCCATGTTTAATTATTGTGTTATTAGATCTTTTTCCAATAAGGCCAGTCACCATTTCAAGTTAGCTACAGCTTGCCTGAAGAGCATATTTGCCTTTTGTCAACATGACAGCTCATTCTCATTATCTCGTACGGTAGTGAGTTTTTCTGGTCACAAATCATAGGAAGAAGAGGCCCCTTCCTTATATAGCGTCAAATTCTGATCTCACTAGAAAGGAAGAAAAAGATTTTTTCTCTCTCTCTCTGGATCTTGGTAACATATCATCTAGCAATTATGGACAATTATCAACTCTCCATTAATTGCAGCTGCATGGTAAATTAGCCTCAGCCCTCTTGCAAGCCCAACCTACGTCACACAGGGTTGTTGCTGTGGGGAAAGAGAGGAGCAAAAGGGTGAGGTATTCTGCCTTGGGGACAGAAGACAATGACATTAATTAAGCCTGTCCTCCTCCCTGTTCTTGAAGATTTATGGACCTCGTTGCCATTTTAATTCCTAGGTAGCTATGCAAATGTACAAAAAGGCTGTCATGTGATATGGGGAGGGACAGAAAAAAAAACCCTCTCTTTTTCTCTGTCCACATACACACAAATACACGCACACATCTAGAGGTACCAATACCTTGAGCCAAGACGTCGATGAAGACAAAAGAAATGAAGACAAAGGCCAGTTTGAGTCCTGTCATTGCTCCAGAAGGTCCTTTTTTGGGGGGGTGTGGGGGTCAGAAAGCTTCTCTCTGCACCTCTGGGGAGGGACTTCTAAGATGAGATCCTGAGCTGAGCTGGAAAGATCCTAGGCTGTGCAGGACAGCAGGTTTTTATAGGACTCAGCCTTCAGCCTTCATTGGTTGGGAGTCCTTCTTGGATAGACTGCCTGGACGGGAGAAATTAGAGAGACGCAAGAACCCAGAGCATTTCAACCTGAGCAGCACTTGGAAGAATATCAGGGGATTTTTCTGTTATTATTATTGTTTTTGGGAAGGCTTCAACAGAAGCTATTCTAGTGTGGGCTTCTAAAATTGGACAGAAGCTGGAAGGCAATGAAACCACAAATGAGCTAATGTGAAGCGAGGTCATGCTAAAGAGTTCTCCTGATAGAGGTGGCTTTTAAATTGTGTGCCGGGGCGGAAGGAGGGAATAGAGATTCCTTTGGATTCCTTTTGAAGTCGCAGTTAAAACCTGTCATTATTACAAACCTGCCCACCAATATTTTTAGGGGGGGAATGGAACTGTTTTTGAAAAGTTTGTGTCAGAATATCTGGAAAGCACAGCCTCATTGAGAAGAAGCAGGACAATAAATGCTAGTTCTGTCTTTGTTGTAAGACCATATTAACAGCATCTTGCAAGTCTGAAAGATTTTCCCCCCTCCATTCTTTTTACTTTCTGGAAAAATAGGGATGGACCCTTCCGAAACGCTTTTCACAAGTCCCCTGTCTCTTTCTGTGGACCGAGATAACTATCTCAGGGGCTGCTACAAAGAAGAGGGAGTGAAGCTATTCTCCAAAGCACCTGAGGGCAGGACAAGAAGCAATGGGTGGAAACTAATCAAGGAGAGAAGCAACCTAGAACTAAGGAGAAATTTCCTGACAGTTAGAACAATTAAGCAGTGGAACAACTTGCCTCTAGAAGTTGTAAATGCTCCAACACTAGACGTTTTTAAGATAATCATTTGTCTGAAGTGGTGTAGGGTTTCCTGCCTAAGCAGGGGGTTGGACTAGAAGACCTCCAAGGTCCCTTCCACCTCAGTTATTCTATGATTCTATTTAACTTGAAAGTTGACTAGTCTGTGGCTCTTCCTACATCTTCCAAGGTCATTCCCACATACTATTAGGCTCATCCTGCTGGACCAACTGGACAGGCAGAGACAATTACAGATAAGCTGTCCCTCAAATAGCACTCCCCCCCCCTCTCAACCATAACTGGACTCATCACTGCTTACAGCTATTCGCAGAGTTGCAGCCGCCATCTTGATTTTCTTCTCCCCACCTCCAGGATTTCCCTCCTTCCATATTTAGTCTCATAATTGCGTCTTCTGAGTCTTCTTTAGGTTGTCTAGCAAAGTGGCAATGCCTGCCTCTCTACAATTGTTCCAGTGGAAGAAAGTATGTCTAGATCAAGCTTGAATTATTGGTTCCTTGATGCACTCTGAGCTTGGTTGTTCTCTTGCAAATCTTTCATTACCGGGCTAGGTAACATCATTAGTGCTCCTCAAGAAAACTTCCCCGCTTTGATGAGATACAGGTAAGACCTCGACTTACAACCACAAGTGGGAACGGAATTTCTGTTGCTAAGCAAAGCAGTTGTTGAGTTACACTCGATTTTACAACTAAGCAAATCAGTAACAGAGCTGGAAGGGACCTTGGAGGTCATCTAGTCCAACCCCCTGCTCATGCAGGAGATCTGTACTAGGGATTCGAACCATCGAATTGCCAAACTTTCTGATCGACAAGCTCAGTGCCTTAGCCACTGAACCACCCAGTCAGGCTCTATTATTAAGAGAATCAGATGGTCATTAAGCAAATCTGGCTTCCCCCATTGACTTTGCTTGTTGGAAGCAGGCTGGGGAGGTCACAAATGGTGATCATGTGACCTCAAGATGCTGCATACATGCCGGTTGCCAAGCTCCTGAATTTTGATCACATGATTTGGGGGGAAGCTGTGAGGGTCATAAGTGCAAAGAGTGATTGCAAGCCACTTTTTTCAGTGTTGTTGTAATTTTCTACTCAAATTCTCCAAATTCACTTTTTACAATAGCTTGTTGTTCATTATCCCTCAGGAGAATAAGTGTTCTGTTACATCTATTAGACTTACTATATTCCTCATTCTGGCATAAACTACACACAGATTTTGCACTAGTCTATTTATTAGGTCCCTACCCCAACTTTATTATTTGTACAACTCAAGAAAGCACACATAACACTCGCTCCAACAACAGCCCTTATAAACCCTTGAGGAAAATTTACACTCTCTGGCTCGGTTTTGGCAGCAGCTACTCAAAGCTTGACAAAGTTGCATCTAGACAAAAATCTCTATTGAATACCAAAATAAGCGGTTGGTTGCCCCTGTCTATGGGAGAATGCCGTTTCTCTCTCATACTCATTTCAATTTAAATCCAGAGCTCCCTTTTCCCACTTTTTGCACAGTTTAATGGCTTCTTGCATTGCTCAACTCGACTTGGTGCTGGATGTTTTGTTGGTTGTTGTCTTGATCAGCTTTCCCACTTCCAAATGTGTAATTCAGTAAATTCTATACAAAAAGGACTTTTGTTTTGTCTAAAAAACAAGAAGAGAAGAGCTCACATCTGTGATATTTATGTTTTAAAAGCTTGTATTGGGGAAAGTTTACAAATATGACATCAGGAACATTTGTGTTAACAAAGTGTTTCTCTGGGAAATTCCATTACAAACCATGCACATTAAGGTTGTGTACAAAAAATATTTTGATATTTTGGGGAGAGTTACAGATGTAAACAGACGCAAATCATCCCAAAATTGGCCAACTGAGGGACATTTCTGGAAAGCCTTTTAAAACTCCAGATAAATTACCTTTAGATTATGCCTTACCCACAAGGGTTGTTGATAGTCTTAAAAGAACTATTCTGGAAGCCTAAAAATTCATTTGGAAAAAAAATTAACCGATCACTAGATGGAAGCAAAAGTCTTTTGCTATATCTTTACTGCCATCTAATGGTACAGGTAGACCTTGACTTATGACTGGTTCCTTAGCGACTTTTAGAAGCTATGATGGACCACCCAGTGTTATTTACAATACTGTTCCGACAGCCACACCCACATGTGGTCATGTGATCATAGTTTGGGAGCTTGGCAACCAGCCTATGATGTATGGCGTATTTGGCAGAAACCTGTGTTTACCTACAGACAATGGATTTGCTTAACAACCGCTCCATTCACTTAACAACCTCAACAAAAAAAGGTCATAAAACTGCTCAGGAACATATGGTGATCCGCTTAACAACTAGCACGATTTACAATCATAATTCTGGGCTCAATTACAGTCATAAGTCGAAGACTACCTGTGTGTCCATTTTAACAGAAGGGAAGGCGGATGCCAAACTCTGCGGGGGAGGGGGAAGAGAAAACTTTAAAAATGCCAGTTGCAATTGTACCCAGCATTGCTCTATCTGTTGTCCTTCCACTTTTTTGATATTAAGCACCTCCTGCTTTCCGTGATGTGTATACATTAGAAGGGCAGAGAAGAATTTTAATATAAATAAGGATAAATAAATAGAACATTGCTCATCCCTTTTTCATCAAGGTCCAACTCCTGTCCCAAACTGTTCCTTAAGGCCTAGCAAACTTGAATGCCTCTTCCCAGCACCTTTACCTCACCTATACATTGAGATCTTTCAATTGAAGTGTGTTAACCTGAAGGCAGGGTGGGGTGAGATATTTAAAATTTGCAAGAGGTGGGCATATTAGCCCCTTCCCTTGCCGCCACCCCTACCTTGATTGCAATGGCCTAGTCCCAGATGGAGTGCGCAATATTTGGGTGAGACCATCTTGAGAGAACATAAACATAAAAGTGTTGTAAGACATATAAAATATATTTAGATCAGCTTTTGGTCTTAAATTGCTAAAAACTGCTTTGAGGAGTCGACAGGGAAGAAAGAAGGAAAATTAAAAAATTGACGGTGCCTTCATAAAAAAAACCCTCTTCTTTCCTAAAGGCGCGCACGCACACACAACCTAACATAAATCAGCTTTCAGCAGATTTTTAAAAAAAGAAATTGGCTTGAATTTTAATGGGTTTCATAACAGTTATTTGAAGAAGAATGTATGTGTGTCTCTTTTAATTCACGTTTTCCGGAGGGGTCCTCTTAGGTGGCTCAGTTGTCTGAGCATTCTGTTTCTTCCAAATGGTTTTGCCAGATTTTTTACAATGAATTAAACAATACTATTATACATTCCAAAGCCTAGACATGGAACTGATTAATACTGGGGATCTCATTTTGACATTCAAGAGAAGCAAACCAGGGAGCTCTTAGCAGGGCCAAGATATCCAGAAGCCACAAACTGCTGGATGATTCCAAGCTCTACAGCAATGGGTGTCCAACCTTGGCAGCTTTTAAGACCTGTGGACTTCAACTCCCCAGAATTCTCCATGCTGGCTAGGGAATTCTGGGAGTTGAAGTCCACAAGTCTTAAAAGTTGCCAAGGTTGGACACCCCTGCTCTACAGAGAAACCACACACTCTGTGCCAGGGTATTCTGGCAAATTCAGTTCGAATTTTTTCTGCACGTCGTAGGGGAGGAAGCGCCCAGCCACCAGGTGATGCTTGCCCATAAATCTCGTGGCACATTGCTTTGGAGCCGCCAAGGAGACAAGAACATCAGGGCTGATTCCATCACTGCTGCCCATCTCTACATCCCAACCTGCAAAGAAAGAGCAAAAATAAGGCAAAATAATTCCAGGATAATTACAGGGATGCTGCCTGATCTGAGCTCTAATTATCCAGATGTCCCCAGCGGGGTGTGGGGTGTGTGTGTGTGTGTGGGGGATGTATTCTCTATTTCTCCTTCAATAATTCATTTTCAGAGATTTTTACAGCTTTAATTAAAGGAAATTCTAGATGCTAAAGGGCTATCAGTGTAAAGATTTTAATTGGTTTTAAATATGGGATTTTAAATTTGGGGGTTTTATAATTGAGCCAATTATTTAATAATTTTAATTATTTTTAAATTTTGTCTGGCTTTGTACTTTTAATCAGGTTGTACACCGCCCTGAGTCCTTCGGGAAAAGGGTGGTATAGAAATAAAATTAATAATAATAATAATAATAATAATAATAATAATAATAATAATAAAGCTTTGTGGTACTATTGGCCTTTGCACATCCCACATGGCAGCAGACTTCCCAAACTTGAAGGACTGTCCCAGGATAGAGGGCGGGGACTGATTTTATTTATATATATTTTGTCAGGATTCGGTGTCGTCTCAAATAAACTGCATTTCAAACAAATAGTCCTTGATCAAAATCTTTCATTTATTAGGCACAACAATCGAAAACTCCGACTCAGTCGCAGCCAACACTGACTTCCTGGTCCAAAGCTTCCCTTTCCTTTCCCCACTGCTCTGCTTCTCATTGGCCATCTTCCAAATCACTCTGCTGTTCTCTACTACTTCAGCTCAAAGGAATTTCCCTCTCCCAACCCATCTCCTAGGGGATAGTATCTCCAGGGAAAATAAGTAGGTGAAAAGTCAAGCGTCCTCTTGCCAGATGCCTCCACCTTCTCCTTCTTATGTCAGCACTGGAGTGAATGCAGCTTGGAGTGCTAACATTTTATTTGTTTTCTACCTTTATTGTTCTTATAAATAATGTAAGGCAACAAACGTACTTCATACACCTCCCTCCTCATATTTTCCTCTCAACAGCAACCCTGTGAGGTAGATTGGACTGAGAGAGAGAGTGACTGGCCCAAAGTCACTAAGCCAACCTTTATGCCTAAGACAGGACCTGAATTCACAGTCTTCTGGTGATTGGCTCCAAGTCACCCAGCTGGCTTTCATGCCTAAGGCAGGACTAGAACTCACAGCTCCTGGTTTCTAGTATGATGCCTTAACCACTAGACCAAACTGGCTTATTTGTCATTACTCTTGAAGGGAGGGCAAGAAGCAGATCCAAACCCATACTAAAGAATTTCCTGCCCATGAATGTTATTAGGCAGTGGAACAACTTGCTGCTTAGAATCATGGAGTCTTTATCGCCGGAGATTTGCAATAAATGTTTGGTAGCTGCATGGTCTGTGGATTCTGCCCTGGGCAAAGTTTGGGCTAGGAGGCCTTCTAAGGTCCCTTTTGACCCCATGATTCTATCTGGTAGAACTAGAACGAATGGGATGAATTGTCAAGGAGGTAGATACAGAAGAGAGATTAGGAAGACCTTGACAGTAACAACTGATGAACAGTAGAATTGATGATTGCATGGAATGGTTTCTATCCCTTCAGTGGAGATTTTCAAACAGAATAGCAGGGATAGTGTAGTGTAGGGATTCTCACTCTTGACCACTTCCAGATGTGTGGACTTCAACTCCCAGAATTCCCCGGCCAGCTTGTTTGAAAACAGACCAATGCTTTGTGCCGATAAATATCACATTTCTTGTTCCATTAATTTAACTTAAATTAAATTAAGTTCTGATTATGCCATTGTCAGTGGAAAGAAATTAGAACATTTAGGGGAGGAGAAGTTTATTCCCATTCATGTCTCATCTGCCTGTTTGTTCTTCCACAGAAGAAATTCCTTCCCTTGATGGTGAAAGCAGGTTTCAGGCTACCACACTCTCTAGACACAGCAAAACGTGTCTGAAGATGACATCATGTCTCGTTTTAGGAAAACTGATGCCTTCTTACAGCAAGCTCTGCCGTTCAAAAGAACCGCCTCTTCAGACAGCCACCGCGGGTGCCAACGAGCCAAGCTGGAACTTGGCAAGAGGACGGAAGTATGAAGAAGTGGAGAAGGGATTAAAATGAAGATGAGGGAGAACCAAGGAATGTCATGTTCTGAAAGAACAGGGAAGTGGTGATGGCAACGCGCGGGGGCGACATTAATAGAGGTTTCATGTTTGTGAAATTTATCCTCTCAAGCAGCTTTCCTCCTACCTGGAATTCAGATGTGTTCAGACTACTTCTCAGAATCTCTAGCCAGCAATGAGCATTTTGTCCTAATTTAATTTAGTTTAGTCTTGTTTTTTTAATGATGACATAACAAATATTCCACCCACAAAGCTTTAAGGAATGCATGGAAACATAGCATGCAAGAAATGTTCTAATCTATCTAAATCAGCATTTGTCAATCTCAGCAATTTTGTGATATATTATTTTATTTATTTATTTATTTATTTATTTATTTATTTATTTTTATATGCCACCCTTCTCCGGAGACTCAGGGCGGCTTACAATGCGTTAAGCAATAGCCTTCATACTTTTGTATATTTTATACAAAGTCAGCTTATTGCCCCCACAACCGGGTCCTCATTTTACCCGCCTTAGAAAGGATGGAAGGCTGAGACGACCTTGAGCCTGGTGAGAACTGAACTCGCAGTAATTGCAGGCAGCTGGATGTTAAATGCTGCCTTAGTAGGAGGCATTAGCCTCCTACGCCACTCAGCCTATATATGAACTTCAACTCCCAGAATTCCCTAGGCAAGGCTTAGGTTTGGGAGTTAAGTTGAAGGGAGCGGGTTATTTCCATTTTATGAAAGTACCCGTAACTCCTGAAACATATTTGATTAAAAGGAACAGTTGTGGCACTGAAGGCAGTGTAGATATAAATGGGCTCAATCTGATTCATCTGGGATCCTCTTAAATTCTTCTACATCTATCAAATGACATCAGTGAATATGGCAAAACTGAAATTCCATGTGCAGGAGTAGTCTACCATCAGTTATCAAACATTGGAGACAAATGATATTTGTCTTTATGTCTTAGTCATCTCCAGTTTGGATTATTACAATGAGGCTAGCCTTGAAGACTAGCATCTTTTCCAAAAGCAGTGGCTCAAACATTTAGAGTGATTTTTCATTGCAATTCAAGTTGGCAGTTGTCACCTTTAAAGCTTTTTATTGTTTAGGATCTGGTTACTTGCAGGACTAGCTTTCACCGGTGGTTTAGAGCCAACCTAGAAGAAGGCTCCCAATAACATAAGCTTTGAAATTGTTTTCTTTTCATGAAATAAATAAGACTTGGTTGTTTTACCAAAACTTTGGGTTCTGAAGAGTTTTTGTTCCAGCAGGACATTGAAAGGGTATATGAATTAAGTATGTTCCTTGATGTGGAGTGACTTATATTAATATTTTGTGCGGCTTTGTGCCTGTTAGTTTTTAACATTATTGTTGACTGGAAATCTGTATGCTGCTTAGAACCAGACATGAGAGGAACTCACCATACAGGTAGTCCTCAACTTACAACCACAATTGGGACCTTTGTGGCCCGTACGCGGCCTGTGCAGCTAGTAGCTGATTCTGACAGCGAGGAGGCTGGTGTGGTGCTGCGCCAGCAGCCCGTGCAGCTGGCACTCAAGTCAGACAATGAGGAGGCTGGAGAAGATGTGGTGTCAGAGGCGGGGATTCAGCCAGGGCCTTCAAAACCCCCAGAAGCTCCCTTAAGTGAAGAGGATGAAAAGGAGGAGCCTCTTCTTGATGCACGGACGCGCAGAGCTGCCAAAAGGCAGGAGTGGCTCCTCAGGAGGAGGTCTCCTCGAGAGTAAGGCTTGGGGTTAATTGGCCACTTCCTTAGCCTATTTAAGGAGGAACCGACTGAAGCAATTTGCAGGGAACAACTTAGTTCACATACCTTTGTGTCTTGTCTTGCTTATCTTATCAGCTTCCTGCAAACTGCTTCTGGGCATTCTGCCAACCATAGTAAGCTTTCAGTTATTATTCTTTGAATTCTTGGCGGCTGTTAATGCAGTTAATTAACAGCCATTGTTGTAAAATATTGGTTTATTTAGTAAACTAAGGTTTGAACCGACTTTGTGTGTGCTGTGTTCTTTGGGGTCCGTAGCTGGGGCAGAACAGGACCCAAATTTAGAGCTTGAAGCATTGTTAGAGACCCCACACACTCACTTCACGGTCTGTTTCTGTTGTTCCCCTCTGGGAGGAGGTTTCAAAGTATTTATAGCAGGACTGCTAGATTCTGTAACAGCTTTGTTCCTTATGGTAAACTCGCATTTTTTCCGCATGTATATGTATACATTCAAAGTAGACTGTGATGTTTCTCTGTGTCATATGTATGTGTGTGGAGGGGGGGATGTACATGCATAATGGTTATCTTTTGAGAGCTGAATGCAACGAAATTGCATTTTAATGTATGCTGATTAGTGTACATTTAAAGTGACAATGAAGTTTCTATTTCTATTCTGTTTTAATTTCTGTTGCTAAGCAAGGTAATTATTAAGTGAGTGGCGTCTGATTTTACAACCGTGGTTGCCATAGTTGTTAAATGAAACCCTGCACTTGTTAAATGAATCATGCAGTAGTTGTTAAGTGAATCTGGCTTCCCCCATTAACCTTGCTTGTCAGAAGAAGCAGGCTGAGAAGGTTGCAAATGGCAATCACATGGCTCCAGGACACTGCAACCATTATAAATAAATACCAGTTGCCAAGTGCCAGATTTTGATCATGTGACCATGGGGATGCTGCAACAGTTGTAAATGTGTAAGTTGAAATGGTCACTAAAAGGATGGATGTAAGTAGAGGACTGCCTGCATAAGCCTAGCAAAATGAATGGAGGAAGGAAGGAAGGAAGAAGGAAGGAAGGAAGGAAGGAAGGAAGGAAGGAAGGAAGGAAGGAAGGAAGGAAGGAATCTCGCAGCAAAGGGAGGGATGGAAAAGCCACCTACGTCCCAAAAGACAGGCTCAATTGACCTCCAAGAATCTGAAAGGGCTCAAATGTACCTGAGTGGGACCCCCATCCCCTCCATTATGTAATGACCAGCAAGTGGCTGCCCTTTCACAACATCAAAAGCCAATTCCTAGGATAGTGGCTGCCTCCCTCTACCTAATGGGAGGGTCAGCCCAATGCAAATAGAATAGAATAGAATAGAATAGAATAGAATAGAATAGAATAGAATAGAATAGAATAGAATAGAATAGAATAGAGGTTGGAAGGGACCTTGGAGGTCTTCTAGTCCAACCCTCCTGTTCAGGCAGGAAACCCTACACCACTTCAGACAAATGGTTATCCAACCTCTTCTTAAAAATTTCCAGTGTTGGAGCATTCACAACTTCTGGAGGCAAGTTGTTCCACTGCTTAATTGTTCTAACTGTCAGGAAATTTCTCCTTAGTTCTTAGTTGCTTCTCTCCTTGATTAGTTTCCACCCATTGCTTCTTGTCCTACCTTCAGGTGCTTTGGAGAATAGCTTGACTCCCTCTTCTTTGTGGCAGCCCCTGAGATATTGGAACACTGCTATCATGTCTCCCCTAGTCCTTCTTTTCATTAAACTAGAGATACCCAGTTCCTGCAACAGTTCTTCATATGTTTTAGCCTCCAGTCCCCTAATCATCTTTGTTGCTCTTCTCTGCACTCTTTCTAGAGTCTCAACATCTTTTTTACATCGTGGCGACCAAAACTGGATGCACTATTCCAAGTGTGGGCAGAGGAGCAAGGGGAGATCAGAGTTCTCATCTACACACCTGATGGGACATCCAGGCTGACGAGAGGAATCCGAATTTGTTTGAGCGTTGCCAAGATTGTGCAGTAGGGCTCTGACAGTTCCCCCAGGCTGTCTTCTACGCCAAGCATGGCGTCAACTACCAGGTTGTATGCATCACTGATTAGCTGAACCTGCCAGAAGGAAAGGGAAAAATTGCATTCAATGCTATATTAGCTTTCCAAAGGTTTCCTTATTATTTCCAAAATGAAACAAGCTTACTCAGAATTCATTGTGCAGGTTTTGAATTTTTAAAATGCATCCAGTTTTATATTTAGCCCTTTGCGCAGGAAGCTTAATATCTGTTTCTGTTTGTTCCTTACCTTTATATTGTGTTACACTAACTAAGTGACAAATAAATTCTGATATTGCTGTTTAGCCTTCATCAGATTTAATTTGCTCAGGGATATCATCACCAAGCCAAACCTGAATCTCTCTCTTGGGCTGTGGTATTCACATATGTACTATTTGCATTGTAACATCTCCCGTGGAAGGGAGACTCTGACAGCTCATTACCCCAAATATCTTGAATTCTTCTGCACTATCTGAAGACAAAATGTAACTTGACCAAATGCATCCACAAAGTGCAGGAAATAGCATCTCTGAATGAAGAGAACATCTGTGATTCCTGATTATCTCGGATAGCTCTGTGTCCAGTGTTTTTCATCTTTGGCAACTTTAAGATGCATAGACTTCAAGTTCCAGAATTCTGGGAATTGAAGTCTGTACATCTTAAAGTTGCCCAGGTTGAAAAACACAGCTGTTGTAGGCCCTTCATTAATTACTTAGCTCAAATAGCCTTACATGCAGAAAAACTTGGTCATTGTACTCTGCTTCGAACTCTTGAGAGGAAAATTGGACATAAATCTAATGAAGAAATGAACAGGGAAATGCATAATAATCAAAGTAGCTTGTCAATGAGTGAAACCAGTGTGATAAATTAAATGGCGTGGATATTTAGCAGAAGCTCTCTTTGGAAAAGAGGTAAAAACAGAGCAAATGTTTTGCATGGCCCCGTCTTATATTTACCACTAGAGTTTCAGTTGTAAGCTTTTATTTAAGATCTTTGTATTCTCACAAAACTTTTTGTTTTTCACTTGACTTCTGGGTGGCTTCTATACCGCAAGATTGACGAAAGGAACTTCAATTTCATGAGGTGAAGTCAAATTGCAAAGCCAAAACCTTTTTAAAAAATTACTTCCCCCCCCCCCGCCTCTATCCATACTGAAATTAGGAAAACTTTAGAATCCAGGAATAATTTAGAGGATAATGCTTTTGGAAAGCTTCAACCGAAATCCAGCCAAACTCATTTCTCCTGAAGTTTCTTTCCAAGAAGGCAGGAGCAGCTGTATTAGAAAACATGATTTGAAGAAGCTGGTTGGGCTCTGATTTGTTTGTAAGATGAAATAGAAGTATTGAGTGAAAGCCACATAAAATTGTTTATTTGTTTAGAAAATTTATATCACAGCCGACTCACTCTTGGTGACTCTGGAGAGCTTACAAAAAATAAAATCCCAGTTTGCAACCTTAAAATCAATAATCTGCCATCCAGTGGTGGGATTCAAAATTTTATACTGCCGGTTCTGTGAGCATGGCTTGGTGGGCGTGGCATGGCATGGCATGGCTTGGTGGGCGTGGCTTGGTGGGCATGGCAGGGGAAGGATACTGTAAAATCTCCATTCCCTCCCCACTCCAGGGGAAGGTTACTGCAAAATCCCCATTTCCTCCCGTTCAGCTGGGAGTCAGGAGGCAGAGAATAGATGGGGACGGGGCCAGTCAGAGGTGGTATTTACCGGTTCTCCGAACTACTCAAAATTTCCGCTACCGGTTCTCCAGAACTGGTCAGAACCTGCTGAATACCACCTCTGCTGCCATCCCCTTGGTGATAGTAATCAGTCAAACAAGCCACTTGATGGGCTCCATCCCACTCTGGGTTACCCAGGCAAAATTTTTCAAGGAAGTGCCATATTTGCACGGAGATGCAAAGAAATGATAAGGATTTCCTTAGCTCGTTTTGGTTGTTTTCGATGCATAATAAAATTTCAGGCCCTAAATGGACATGATTTTACCAATTATTGGAAACAATCAATAAGCATCAGGAAAAACAATAGCTTGCAAAATAATATATAACAGAATGAATGCAATGTTTATAACATAGATATATGTGTGCATTTCTTAAAAGACACAAAAAAGTGTTAAACACATTAACTCAACATTAAAACTGAGAGTGAGTGGGCGGTCATATACAGCAGTGGCCAAAATTGTAGAAACCTTTTGGGAAAAGTGTATTTTCTAGAACTAGCTAATAACACCACTTGTTTTTAGTAGTATAATAAAATAATATATTAATGGAAAGATAATTTAATCAAGAATGTAATGCAATAACTTTTATGAAGGATTTGCTATTAGAATAGCAGTTACAATATAAAGAAGAAAAGTGAAATACGTAGAAAAATCGAGATATACAAAAATTATCACCATAGAAAAAATGAGATATACAAAAATTATCATGTCAGTTAATAGTTGGGTAACCTTTAGCATGAATTACGGCCTTACAACGTCTTCCCATGGAGTGAACCAAGTCTTTTAGTTCTGCAGCTGTTCTAATGTGAAACCAAGATTGAATGATTGCTTCTATTAACTGGGTTTTATTGCTAGGTCGCTTCTGACGAACAAGTTTCTTTAGTCAGCTCCATAGATTTTCAATTGGGTTAAGGTCTGGGCTATTCCCAGGCCATTCCAGCAGTGGAATATGATTATCTTGAAGCTCCAAAAAAAAAAGTGGTGTAATTAGCCATCAAACCTCCAAAATACACTTTTCCCAAAAGGTTTCCACAATTTTGGCCACCACTGTAAATTCTCTAAATACATAAATAAAAATAAAAATTAAGTGATAAATCATATAACTCACAAATGTATACAGGGACATAGGCTCACATATCACAAATACCCATTAAAAATGGATGGGTTTCGATTTTACACTTTTCAGTAGCATAAATATTGAACGTGCTGGCTTAACCACAGCGCAGCATAAAGGAACCAGTCAGGCTAACATAATAACCCTGAATTAATAGCAGAAAGAGAAAAGATAAGAAAGCAACTGCTATACATCCTCACGTCTGGATACCTCTCATAAAAGGCATCCATTTCTTCAAAGAATGCAGAGCAATTAACAAATTATCTAGAGAGCAATAGAATACAAAGCTTACTCAGAGCAAAATAGGTCATGAAAATTCTCTACTGTTGCTAAAATCCCATACGATTTGTATAATATTCATTTGTTTCCAGCACATTCTCCCTCTTTTTACTGGTCCCATAAAATTCAAGTTCATGAGAAGTAGAGGCATTATATTATAATTAAAAATAAGCTAAGGTTAAAAGATGGACGTTTATGAGATTAACAGTGTGTTAAAAGATATTGTGAATTCAAACTTTTAAGGATTAGAAATTGTGGGGATTTTAAGACATAATCCTGGGATTGATTACATTTTGTTAATATTTGGCTTTATTAGTAGTCCTTGACATTTGGGATATCAAAATTATGGTGGAATAATGAGTAATTTCTAAATATTAAATATTAGTGACTTAGTAGGGGATAACAAATAAATGGTGCAAAGAAATGTTATTTAAGTTTAAATGTATTAATGGGAAAAAACGATAAAGAATTATAAAGAGAGAATAGTATTGGTGAAGTTGGAAGATTAGTACTATGTATACTTATTTGTATTATTATTGTTAACATTGTTTAAAAAGGATATTGACCCAGTCAATACACTGCCCACAAAATATGTATGGTATGGATAAAATAAAATAAAAAACTTGAAAAAGAAGAAGAAGAAGTAGAGGCATGCTAACGTCAAGAAGGCTTTCTATAATGGTCCTTTCCCCATCAGATCTGGACCAATGATGACCTACAGGTGAGACCAACTTAGGTACAAAAAGAACTTCGTGTAAAATACATATATGGAATTAAAATCTAAATCAGAGATAACTCTGGTATCAAGAAATATTTTTCAACTTTAAGAGGAATCAGGTATAGATTATTAGATCATGCTAGATCAGAATCATTATAGGTAGTCCTCATTTAGCAACCAGAATAGGCACAGGCAACTGGATCATTAAGCAAAACAGTCACAAAGGGAAACCACAACTGTGCTTAATGTTTGTAGACCAGATTCTCAGTCATCCGGGTCATAGGATGTCTAAAAGGTCCTTTTTCAAAAGGCAACTGGACTGCCTCAGGAGCTCCCAGGGAGAGTACTAACAACCAGATGACTGCAAAGAAATATGATCTTTCCCTACCCCGGTCCATCTTAATAGAACTAATCCTTCCATCGCCTCCACCATCCTGCCAGAACTAATGAAGCTTCTTGGATGAGAAGCGAAATGTCTTCCTCACGAAAAAACAGTCCAGTTGTCTTTTGAAAAAGCCAACTGTGCTTATGATCTTATTTCAGCTTTCCTTTGCTTTAGTGTAGTTTACTTCACTTTGTCATTGCACCTCGTACAACGAAATTAAATGCCATCTTCAGTGTGCATTATACATTAAAAAAAATAAAACAAAAACACACATCCTTCACATTCTATGCAATTGAATTGAAAACTCCTGTTATTTGCATTAATATTGCACTATAGAGTAGAATTCAATATAGTTACTGCTCTGGGATAGAAGCTGTTTTTCAGCCTATTTGTCCTTGTTTTTATTGTCCGGTACCATTTGCCAGATGGTAATAGTTCAAAAAAAGGGGTGCGTTACAGATCTGCAATGGTAGTCATTCAAGGACTGGTCTCAAAATTATTTTTCATCATGTTGTAACTGTGAACAATCACTAAACAAGGCCTTTGCTAAATAAGCAGTACTTGTACTGCTGATGTGTTGTGCTGTCGTGCATAAAAGAGTAGGTATACTGAACAGCATATTAATATCAGTTTCAGCCTTATTATCCTCATGCATCTGTACCCAACAGGAGGAATTTACTAGATTGCACACTCCAGAAAACCATCCAAAACCACACAACCAGCACTGTCAATGCCTTCAACCTCCATGTAAGCTATTAGCAGAAGTATTAAAACCTTTTTCTAATTCATCAGAAACATTTGCAACTGCCTTCCCTAAGAAAACAATTCAAATATAATCCAAGCATGTATAATTTAAATCACGTATCCCATCCCTCGCCTGCCGAGGGCCCCCCCAAAGACCTCCAAAGTTCTGCCAACTTTTTTTTTAAATTTGATTTATATGCCGCCCTTCTCCGGAGACTCAGGGCGGCTTACAATGTGCTAAGCAATAACTTTCATCCTTTTTGTATATTTATACAAAGTCAGCTTATCGCCCCCACAAACTGGGTCCTCAATTTACCTACCTTAGAAAGGATGGAAGGCTGAGTCAACCTTGAGCCTTGGCGAGATTCGAACCTGCAGTAATTGCAGGCAGCTGGTCTTAATAACAGGGTGCTTTAGACCACTGTACTACAAGGATAAACTTATCATTGTTAATAGGGTAAAATGATATGCTTATTAAATGTAGAGAAAGAAATGTTGAGAATGATTTAATCGGATGAATTACTGAGAACCCAGAATAATCATAATAACTAGATTATCTGTGTTTATCCTTTAATACTTATAAAACTAATTATGGAGGTGAAAGCTAAGAGTTCTCTTGAAATCCCTTTTCAAGTATTTCTCCCATATTTCACAGTGTGCTCTGCAGTATAGATTCAACGATGCAGAAATATGCATTGAAACAGCAACGATGGCATCATACGTATGATTGCGCTGAGGTGGGCACCGTAATTTGGGGGAATCAAACATGTGCAATCAATGCTAAAATATAACCAAAACACTCTTGAGTCAACCTCAAATTCAGATCACATGAAAACTGCAGATAGAGGTGGAAATGATGGCTCAGGAAGGATAGATAATTAAGATAACGAGCTCCTACTATACACAGAAAGAGAGAAACATACTGTACCTCCCCAATCTGGTGTTTCAACTATGACTTATTTGCAGGGTGGATAAAAATCAATGATTTTTTTTAAAAAATCAAAAAAATCAGATTTTTTAAAATTTAAATCGGATTTTTTTTATTTAAATCGGATTTTTTTTATTTTTATCGAATTTATTTTAATAAAAAACTTTTGGGCTAAAAATCTATCGTAAGGTAGTTTTCTATTTAAGATACATAAATAATTTAGTTTATTCAGCATGAAATGGAGCTTAGTTATGTAGCATGAGGCTGTGTATTCTGCAACACTGGGACTATCGGTGAGTCAACAGTGGGTCAAAGGACTAGCAGAGATGACAGTTGCTCTTTAAAAATTATGATTTAAATCGAGTTGATTTAAATCAAGCCTTTTTACTAGTGATTTAAATCAACTCGATTTAAATCAAATCCACCCTGCTTATTTGCATAGCTTTCACCTACAGGATTATGGGAACTGTAGCCAAACACATCCAGAGGTCAAAAGCTGGTGAGATATCCATCCTAACCTCCTTCTAAACAGAAGGGCAGCTAACTGCGGTTCTTTTGAAAAAGACGTCTAGATCATATTATAGGTAGTCCTTGACTTATGACCACAATTGAGTCCCAAATTTTTGTTGCTAAGCAAGACAATTATTAACGGAGATGTGCCCTGTTTTACAACTTTTCTGGCCGCAGTTGTTAAGTGAATCACTGCAGTTGTTTAAGTTAGTAAAACGGTTGCTAAGTGAATCTGGCTTCCCCATGGACTTTGCTTGTCAGGTCTCAAAAGGTGATTGTGTGATCACGGCACATTGCAATGGTCATAAGTACGAGTCAGTTGCCAAGCATCCGAATTTTGATCACGTGACCACGGGGATGCTGCCACGGTGGTGTGAAAAATGGTCATAAGTCGCCTTTTTTCATTGCTGTTGTAACTCTGAACGGTCCCTAAACAAATTGTTGTAAGTTGAAGACTGCCTGTGCTATCTGAGATGCTAAAATGTACCATATTTTTCAGAGTATAAGACGCACCTTTTCCCCCCTAAAAGAGGGTGGAAATGTTGGTGCGTCTTATACACCAAATACAGCCATTTTTGGCCTCCTGAAACCCCACCCCGCGCATCCCGTTTTCGCCAAAAATAGGCCTGTTTTTTGCAAAACGGGGTCTGCAGAGGATTTGGGAGGTTTGCAGAGTGCTCCTGGGGGCTGGGGAGGGCAAAAACGCGATGCATGGGGGGTTGGGGAGGCCAAAAATGGGCCCGTTTTTCACAAAAATGGAACACGCAGAGGGTATGGGAGGCCTGCAGAGTGCTCCTGGGGGCTGGGGAGGGCAAAAACTTTTTTTTTCTTGTTTACCTCTTCAAAATCTTGGTGCGTCTTATACTCTGGTGCCAGGTGTGGGTTCTATTTACCTTTACTACCAGTTCGCAATGGGACCACATGCGCAGATCGCTTCTGATGATGTCACAGTCAGTGGGCGGAGCCTCCTGCCGGTTTTACTACCGGTTCTATAGAACCGGTCCAAATCGAGGGCAACCCACCACTGTCTGATGCGTCTTATAGTCTGAAAAATACAGTAAGTCTCTACCCACATAGTTCTGAAGGTGGGATGGAAACATTAATACGTGTGAAAGCTGGAAATAAAAGGATTTTTACTGTAATCGGCTTCCTTTCCCAAATGCGATTAAGCATCTCGCCTTACCTCTGTTGGCAGATAGGAAAGGAAAGGAATGTCGATCTTTTCACACTGCGTGGTGAAATCTCTGTAGAGAGGATTAGACGACTTTTTGGGATAGAAAATGGTCGGCTCGTATTCCTGGAAGAGAAAACAAGAGATGACTGTAGATAAGCATCAAGGGCAATCACTTCCCTGTTTATAACCAAAGCTAATGTGAATGTGTTTAATCCCAGAAACCACTCCAATTAAATTAAAATTCCAGAGGCAGGACACGGAAGAGAACATAGGTGAGGAAATAATGAAAGAAGAGTTACAAACTGCTATTGGGAAATTCTCTTTAGTTTATCTCAAAGAGATATAATAACCAGAGGTGGGCTGCTGGGGGTTCGCAGGGGTTTGGGAGAACCTCTAGCTAAGATTCTGTGCAGTTCAGAGAACCCACAAATCCCACTCCTGGCTGGCCCCGCCCACCCCTCCCCTCCCCTCCCAGGAGTCCCCACACAGCCCGTTTTGGATGCAGGTAAGTGCAGGGTGCGTGTGGAGCCTCCGGGAAGGCGAAAAATGGGCCTATCAGAAGTTTGGGAAGGCCAGAAATGGGCCCATTACCGGCCTCCAGAGGGCCTCCAGAGCCTGGGGAGGCCATTTTCACCCTCCCGGAGGCTCGAGAAAAACCTCTAGAGCCCAGAGAGGGCAAAAACGCCCCCCCACACTGTGGTGCAGGAGGCTGATTAGGCCACACCCATCATGGCCACACCCACCTAGCAACTGAATAGAGATCCCCTTGCTAAAAGTTTTGAAGCCCACCCCTGATAATAACTGCTTATCTATCAACGAAGCTTTGTGTTGATAGATGAGTTTATCAATACTCTGATGATAGAAATATATATTAAGAATGCCAGTCCTGGTAGGTGGTAGTATCTAAACCAGGGTGTCTCAATCTTAGCAAGTTTAAGACTAGCGGACATCAAGAATTTCAGAATTCCTCAGCCAGCCATGTTGGCTAGGGTATTCTGGGAGTTGAAGTCTATTTGTTTTAAAGTCACCAAGGTTGGGAAACACTGATCTAAATGCTAATGTCATAAATGTAAGAAGGGCTAATCTCATAAATGTAATCAGGGAATGGATTAGTTAATACTTGGAGAAAGAGTAGCAGAAAGTGAGAGGGGACCACAAGAAAAACAAAATTTGCTTTAACTGATATTATTTTACGCTGGTTTCCATGTGTATTTTTTTTTTCTTTGTGTCACATTAAAAATTTGTAATTGGTGGCATGGTAGAGGTTCAGAAGTTCATTTCCAGGACTTTTTATCAGTTACATAAAACCCTGAAAATCTCATGTTGGTTTTAATCCAATGATCCAAAATCTATGTGATAGATTCTGAAATATATCTGGGTCCTTAATGCAGAGAAGAAGACCTCTTTACCTCAGAAAATAAGATTCTGTAAAGACATTTAAAGCTAGTGTAGGAAGTTAGCACCCACCCCTCTCCTAGGAAAATGAGATATTTGTAGGAAATATTAAAAGGACAGAATATTTCCCCTAAAAGGGAGGCAGAAACTCATCCCCTCCACCTTTGTCAATGGGCCATTAAAACCTGGGCCAGTCTATTCTACATAACAAACACCTACCTCCTTCAGGCAGAGCCATAGTAGGAATTGCCCAAAGCCCTTTCATTATATCATCACTCAGTAAAAGTCAACCAAGCCTGGGACTCAAAAAACACAACCTACAAAGTTATCCCTGCATGGCCCCATGGGAGTCTGACAACCAATCAGAATGCAAGCTCAAATTCAAAGCCCAACAGAGGGTATAAAACCCAGGCACTCTCAGCATCTCTGCCCTTTTCTGCCCAGGATTTCAAGCCATGTGATCCTGTTCATCAATAAACCTTCTTTCCAAGCAACTTCCATGAATCCAGGGTCTTTTTTCCCCACTTGGAACTGAACCCAGATGGACATTTCTTCCAACAATTGGAAGTTGGTGGTGTTCTTCAGAAATTCTGTAATCCAAATTTTGTAAATCTGTCAGTTTAAAATATATTTTTAAATCTTGTGAAGGATGGCAGGAACATTTGTTTAATACTTATTCTTATTAAATAAATCTAATTCTGCACTTCTGGAGTTACTAAATGCACGGGAACACAGTGATCTATTCAATTGCCAAATCACTGAATTATATGATACAATTCTTGACTTAATAGCAACTGTACAAATATACAGTAGTTTTTAAGGAAAAATATGTATGATTAAAATGAATGTATCATGTTTGGTGGCCCTGAATACAGTATATGGACATCAAGATAGTAGCAATCCTGCTGATGGGTGAGAAATGTTTGCCATTGAACAAGTTACAAAGTTTGCTACAGTATTCAGAAAGCCTTGGACAAGCTTTCTCGGTGGCATTGTTGCCTTTAATGCAGATAACTGGAGATAAAGGACTTTGGAGGGAGTCTTGATTGGAAGAATCTGTGTTTAAAAAAGCTCAAGTTAGTGGGGCAGAAACTTGGCCAAGGGAACTGTTTGCAAATAGTCTACAAAGGGGACAGCCAATCTATCAATTCCCTGAGCTTGTGCAAGGCAAGACCTATGCTCTTTGGCAGCAGCCATTCGTTCACTGGTCTATTGATGAAGGAACCAGGCTAGAAACCAGGAGACTGTAAGTTCTAGTACCACCTCAGGCAACAAAGCTTTCTGGCTGCCTTTGGGCCAATCACCAGGAGACTGTGAGTTCTAGTTCCGTCTTAGGCATGAAAGCCAACTGGATGACCTTGGGCCAGTCACTCTCTCTCAGACCCACCTTGCAGGGTTTTTGTCAGGAGGAAGGAGTGTTGTGGCCCATCAGCAGCCTGTGCAGCTAGTAGCTGATTCCGACAGCAAGGAGGCTGGTGTGGTGCTGCACCAGCAGCCTGTGCAGCTGGCACTCGAGTCAGACAATGAGGAGACTGGAGAAGATGTGGTGCCAGAGGTGGAGATTCAGCCAGGGCCTTCAGAACCTCCAGAAGCTCCCATAAGTGAAGAGGAAGAAGAGGAGCCTCTTCTCGATGCACGAGCGCGCAAAGCTGTTAAAAGGCAGGAGTGGCTCCTCAGGAGGAGGTCTCAAGAATAAGGCTTGGGGCTAATTGGCCACTCCCCTAGCCTATTTAAGGATGCAATTTGCAGAAAACAACTTCATTTATATTCCTTCGCGTTTTGATTCCAGAAACATTTTATCGGCTCTTATTTCTCTCTTGTCAGTTTTCCTGCAAATTGCTTCTGGGCATTCTGCCAACCACAGTAAGATTATTGTTATCTGAAATACTGTGCCTCAGAATTGAGTTATTATTCTTTGGATGCTTGTCGGCTGTTAATGAAGTTAAATTAACAGCTCTTGTTCAGAAAAGACTGATTTCAACTGTACTTGTGTTCGAACAACTACTAAGAAAGCTCATTAGTAGTCCTTAATTAGTAAACTAAGGTTTGTACGGACTATGTGTGTGCTGCGTTCTTTGGGGTCCATAGTTGGGGCTGAACAAGGAGGACAATATATAGGTCTGTTCGCCACCTTGAGTTATTTATAAAAATAATAAAGGCAAGATATAAATAAATCAGTTCCATGATCTAAAGATGGCCCATCCCCACAGCATTCAGAGCTAGTTGGATACTTACAAATACACGCAAATGCCGGGCACATACTAGGCCAATTGCCCCATTCTGTTCACAACCACAAATCACCAATAGTGTCGGCTGCTTCTTTGAGAGAGACTGCCTGGGGAAAACCTGAAACAAACAAACAAAAAAAATCTAGCAAGTGAAGGTGGACAAGCAAAAAAAAAAAGAAGAAGAAGAAAAGAAGAAGATTGTTCAGGTTCACAGTGTTCCTAAAAATAAAGCTTAGATCAGGAAGAGGGCAGAATTCCAACACAGTTCACAGCACACAAACTACATAATATATTTCTTCAACTTAGTGGATGAAAGAAGTTCATTAAATTGAGAAAAAGTCTCCCAGTGTCGTTGGGAATCAGGAAGTATAACAAATTGAATTATGCCATTAAATAAATGATGATACCCTGTTATACATTCTCCAGTCCTGGCTACACAGATGATGCTATTGCAATGCTGACTGGATACCAGGTAATCCTCAATTTATAACCATTCGTTTATCGACCATTTGAAGTGACTTATGACTGTTTTTCACACTTACAACCATAGCAGTGTTTGTGCGGTTATGTGATCAAAAGTTGGACGCTTGGCTTGACTTACGACCACAACTGAGCCCCAAATTTCTGTTGCTAAGTGAGACAGTTGTTAAATTCGTTTTGCCCCATTTTACGACCTTCCTTGCCACAGTTGTTAAGTGAATCACTGCAGTTGTTAAGTTAGTAACAGTGAATCTTGCTTCCCTATTGTCTTTGCTTGTCAGAGGGTCCCAAAAAGTGATCACATGACCCTGGGAACATCATAAATAAATGCCAGTTGCCAAGCAACTGAATTTGATCACGTGACCATGAGGATGCTGCAACAGTTGTAAAATATGAAGAATAGTAATAAGTCACTTTCTTCAGTGGGGTTGTGACTTTGAATGGTCACTATATGAATGACTGTATGTAGAGGACTACCTGTAGCAGTTTCCCAATACATCTTTTTTTCCCTGAAAGATTACAGCAATTTTTTCTGATTTTTTAAAATAGGTTTCTGTAGTGATGCTGTCTTCCCTTCCCTTCCATTTGTTTCCCAACCGCTGACCTAAATATTTGTACTTTGCAATGGGCATTGAGCGCTGTGGGTTGCAGCTAATATCTGTTTAAATCATGTCATCTATTATTTTTTATTGGTCTCATCACGACTGTCTTCCTAGAAATCATGCTCCAAATGTCTCAATTTGTCTTGCTCTGTGTTGCATCCATGGGAGCTATTCATGCTTAAATTGAGTTAGCTTCTGTTATGGATATATAAACTGACAATTTTGCCAATGCTACGTATCCTCCAATTTTGTTCTCCCAGTTTCTGTATCCTGTACAGAAAAAAACAACACATTGTCATTCTCTGACAGGATCAAGGCTACAGCTTTCCCTGCCTCTCCCTCCAAAATCCAATAACCCCTACTTTGTAGGCTTCAAGAGATGATTAAAAACAGAGTTTTTATGGTACTTGGCACTCTCTAGACTGGCAAAAATATATCCATATTTAAACCCCAATTGTTCAAAATGTGGACAAAAGCAAGGTATCTTCTTTCACACGTGGTGGTTATGCTCCGAAATAAAAAAATATTGGATGAAAATACATAGTTGGATACAGGAAGCAACAGGTTTCCAGATATAATATACACCAGAATTGTTTCTTCTAGGAATAATGAAAAAGAAATATGAAAAAACAACAACATATATTATTCTACATATGACAACGGCGGCAAGATTGGCATTTGCGCAATGTTGGAGAAGTTCAAACATACCCTCCGAAGATTTAATAATTAGAAAGATATTAGATTGCGCCGAGATGGATAAAATCTCTAGGAGCCTGGATAGCTCAACAGACTAAAAGCCTGTTATTAACATTCAGCTGTCTGCAATTATTGCAAGTTCGAATCTCCCCAAGCTCAAGGTTGACTCAGCCTTCCATCCTTTCTAAGGTAGGTAAATTGAGGACCCAGTTTGTGGGGGCAATAAGCTGACTTTGTATAAAATATACAAAAGTATGAAGGCTATTGCTTAGCGCATTGTAAGCCGCCCTGAGTCTCCGGAGAAGGGCGGCATATAAATCTAATTTTTTTTTAAAAATGACATTGGAACTGGAAGGACAGATGGATTCGGACTTTTACGTAATATGGGATAAATGGTATTATTGAAGATAGAAAAAAGGGAAATAACACATAGTAGATTTTGTAAAATTATATAGAGCATAGGAGAACATTAGTGTGATGATATGTAAATGGTCACAGTCACGCACAAGAGTTGAATAAGAATTGTTTAATTGTTAAAACCCAATAAAACTCAAATAAAAAAAAACAGAGGTTTTAAAAAGCGCTTTGAGTTAGAGATGGCACCTTCTTTTTGACTGGCTGCATTATGATTTTACTTTCAATTATTACCAGTGGTTATAAACATTCTTCGCAGTGTTTTGTGCTTCAGATTGTAACCTGCTGAAAACCTCTCTAGTGCAGTAGGTTAAACAAGCAAACATATGAAGGGGCTGGGCCTTCATCACATTGCTGTGACCGACATCTTGCCTTTTTTGACCACCGCTCCTGAAGTGGACTAGATTTGCTGTATGGAGGAAAATCTGGCAACAGTAAGTTTAAAAATGGGGTAAACAGTTTAAACAGTAAGTTCAAAAATGGGGTAGATCAGTCTAGAGCAGGGGTGGGCAACTGTGGCCCTTTTACAACCTGTGGACTTCAACTCCCAGAATTCCCGAGAAAAGCTTGGCTGTCTCAGGAATTCTGGAGTTGAAGTCCACAGGTTGTAAAAAGGCCACAGTTGGCCACCCCTGCTCTAGAGCAGTGTTTCTCCAACTTGTCAATGCCCTACTGGGGAATTCTGGGAGCTGAAGTTCACATGTTGTCAGGGTTCCAAGAAACACGCCCAACGAAATAAGACTCCGAGGCCTGAAGTTCCTCAAAGTTCCATTTTATTAGAGATGTCATATTGGCACATCTGGGAAAACCCGAATCTGAAAGTTTCCAGGTTTTCCCCACCCAAAGGAAAGTTCAAGTCCCTGCCCAACACCCACAAGTCCATCACATGGTCCAATCAGAGCACCGTCCCAACTGGAGATGCCTCCCAGCCACACCCATCCAGGTGCAGGGCAAGATGTCCTTGAGTCTCTTGGAAAGGAATGTTATTATGACTATATATCACCCTGTCTCCACACTATTCCTCCCTCCCAGTTTCCCACAGTAGTAAAGGTGGCAGGCCTGAAGATCCAACAAAAAAGATGGCTTCCAGGCCTGACACGGGTCTTAAAAGTTGCTAAATTTGAGGAAGAACTAGTCTAAGAACTAGTCTAGGAATTACCAATGCCTCTCTCTGACAGCAGTGGCTTGAGATTTTGTTGATCGCTTCAAGCCCTCTCACTTATAGTCATGTGACCAAAAAATAGTAAACGCAGCCCAAACCTTGCTTTCCCAGTGCACATGCATTGCACAAGCACACACCACACTGATGCTACACCTGCCTTGATTAGATCCTCACATACAGGCAAGGTATATGCATAAACCTTGATTAGATCCTAGAAAGAAAAGTGTAGGCAGAAGCTTTGATTGCATGACTGCAACATGATTGCAGAAGCTTTGTAATGCAGTGGAAACTGGAGATGCCTTTTTACGGCAGCGGCGGCAGCGGCTGCTAAAAGGTTCAGAAAAAAATTCCAGAAGCCTTTTTTGTGCACCTGTTTTAGAATCTCAATTAGTCATTGAAAATCTTTTTTAATGCGTTCTTTGTTTGCTTTATGAAATTGAGGAAAACGCAATTGCAGTTTGTGTTTCCTCCAGTCCTCAGATTATTTTTAGAACATTTTATCCAAGGGGATAGGAACATTGCACAGAGCAAGGGAACATGGATTCAGAACTAGGAGGATACACAAGTAGTCCTCAACTTACAACTATTTGTTTCATGGCCATTCAAAGTTACAACAGCACTAAAAAAAAAAAGTGACTTACAACCGGTTTTCACACTTACAAGCATTGTGGCATTCCCATAGACTTGTGATCAAAATTTGGGCACTGGGAAATGGCATGTATTTACGATGGTTGCATCCTGGGGATATGATTGTCATTGGTAACGTTCCCAGACAGCTTCCAACCAGCGAAGTCAATGGGGGAAGACAGATTTGCTTAATGATCTCATGATTTACTTAACAGCTACTGTGATTCACTTAACAACCTTGGCAAAAAAAGCTTGTAAAATCAGGCACAGCTCAATTAACAACTGCCTTGCTTAGCAATGGGAAATTCTGACCCCAATTGTGGTTATAAGTCAAGGTCTACCTGTAAAGAAATAAAAATTGATTCCCACAGAAAAATCCAAATATTCTCTTCTATCTACATGCAGTCACTTTTCTTCTTAAACCTAAAGCTATTTCCGCCATCACCCTGGCCTGAAATCACTGTTGCTGTTTCTTTGATTGGTGCTTCTCAATCTCACCTCCCCCTTAAAATATGTGGACTTCAGCTTCCAGAAAGGAAGTTGACCGACTGGCTGGGGAAATCTGGGAGTTGAAGTCAGGGGTGGGCTTCAAAAATTTTTGCAAGGGGTTCTCTGCCCAGTTGCTGGATGTGCATGGCCATGGTGGGCGTGGCCTAGTCAATCTCCTACACCATGGGGGGGGGGGCGTTTTTGCCCTCCCCAGGCTCCGGAGGCTTTCCTCGAGCCTCTGGGAGGGCAAAAATGGTCTCCTCAGATTCCGGAAGCCCTCTGGAGGCCAGAAACAGGCCCGATTCCAGCCTTCCTGAACTTCTGGTAGGCCTGTTTTTTGCCCTCCCCGAGCCTCCGTGTGCGCCCTGCACTTACCTGCATCCAAAACGGACCATGTGGGGACTCCTGGGAGGGGAGGAATGGGGTGGGTGGGGCCAGCCAGGAGTGGGATTTGGGGGTTCTCCAAACTGCACAGAATCTTAGCTAGAGGTTCTCCAGAACCCCTGCGAACCCCCCAGCAGCCCACCCCTGGTTGAAGTCCACCCATCTTAAAGTTGCTGAAGTTGGGAAAGTCTAACTTAGATCCAGATGTCCAGCTATCCAGCAGCCAACTGAGATTCTTTGAAGCAGTTTCTTGATAATGAGATTCCTTACATTATATTTGATAATCTGGAAAACGTTCATTGGCTATCGTATATACTATGAACTCACCTTGGTCACTGCCATGGCAGATGCATGACCCCAGATCTCAATTAACTGCTGATGGCCAAATTTAAACTCTTCTAGCAGCTCCTTCTCAATAGATGTGGCTTCCGCTCGGCTGCAGAAGAAGGAAGAGGAGGGGAAACCACAGTTACATTTCTCCTGAAAATTCCATTTGCACGTTGTTTCAAAAGCTAGGCTGTAATCCAAGCGCTGATGAATTTCTTACCAAATTACCTGATGGAATGTCCACATTCCGAGGTACTATAGTTTACATCTAAATTCCAGATGCAAGAACAAATAATAGGCAGTAACTAGACTGACTCATATTTATGACGGTTGCAATGTCCCGGGGTTATGTGATCATCACCTTTTATGACTTTCTGACAAGCAAAGTCAACGGGGAAGCCAGATTCACTTGCTAGAACCATGCTATTAAGAACTGCAGTGATTTACTTAACAACTGTGACAAGAAAGGTCGTAAAATGGAGCAAAATTCCCTCAGCAACTGTTTTGCTTAGCAAAGAGAAATGTTGGGCTCAATTGTAATAAGTTGAGGACTACCTACAGTATATAACCTATTTCTACACCAGCTCTCCAGATGTTCACATACAATACTATATAATTTTGTTGTTGTTAGTTGTGAAGTTGTGTCCAACCCATCTCGACCCCACGGACAATGTTCCTCAAGGCCTTCCTGTCCTCCACCATCCTCTGGAGTCCATTTAAGATCATGCCTACTGCTTTGGTGATTCCATCCAGCCACCTTATTCTCTGTCATCCCCGTCTTCTTTTGCCCTCAATCTTTCCCAGCATTAGGCTCTTCTCCAGTAAGTCCTTCCTTCTCATTAGGTGGTCAAAGTATTTGAGTTTCATCTTCAGGATCTGGCCTTCTAAAGAGCAGTCAGGGTTGATCTCCTCTAGGACCGACCGGTTTGATCGCGTTGGGGTCCAAGGGACTTGCAGGAGTCTTCTCCAGCACCATAGTTCAAAGATAATTTTGTTCAGTGAATGTTAAAATAACACAGCCAAAGACTTTTTCCCCCCTTATTGAAACAGTTGGGCATTTACCGCTGTGTGAAAATGCAGCAATGGCTGCCTTCCTATATACATGCCCTCAATCTGTCATGTTTCTTTGTTCAACCTGTACAGACTGACCTTTTAATTAGGCTTGCATTTAGGCAATAAAAAGTGTTTGGCTGTGTATGTGTGTGTGCGTGCAATGTGTGTGTGTGAATACATTATACATATATTCATTTTAATTGCACAAGCCAAAATCAGGTCATCTGGCTTCCAGACAAAAACGGGTACAGACTGTTCCCCTCACCCCATGTTTCTTCCCTTAGAGTTACCTCTGGGCTTTCCATTCTGGAATGAGAGAAGCCACAGACAGGAATTTGTACAGGGCAAAAATGGAGACAATGCTCCAATTGTTCTACTTCTGGCTCACAGCCTCCAAAAGCCCTGGCAGGCGGTGTGAGGGCCGGGGGTGAGGGATGGAAAGAATTGTTCACGTACGTCAGTTCATTCAACCCGAGGGATCAAAAAGGAGAGAGAAAAGGTCATATTACTGACCACCATTGTTGGTGGTTAAAAGGAAAAGTGGAGTGAGGTGGGTCTGGAGGAAGCCTTGAGGATCTGCTCCTGGTGTTCTAATCTTTGGGAACAGACAGCATAGTAGTTAAATAAGTGCAAGTTACTGGATGTAAGGATCTAATGGAAATCTGGGAGTGAAGATTACTTCATTGATCTCAAAAATATGATCCTCGAGCTGGCTGCGTTTGCTTTCCTTCCAGAACTCATAGGAGAAACCTCTGGCCCTAATTCCATCCATGTGCATAGATTGGTAATTCTTAATCTTGGCAACTTGAAGATGTGTGGACTTCAGCTCCCAGAGTTCCCCAGCCAGCTGCCTGGGGAATTCTGGGAGTTGAAGTCCGCACATCTTAAAGTGGCCAAGGATGAGAAACACGGTCATAGATCTTCCCTATGGGAGATTTGGGGGTGGTGGAACTGAGAAACTTCTCAAGGAGGACACCACAAATTTTCAAAAAGGTGCCAAGACTGAGTGATGCAGAACTCAAAGATCGTGAGGAGGAAGAGATAAGAGGAGCCCACCATGCCAGAGGTAGGAGCCTACTAGCCTGAAGACAAGTGCTGAGATCAGGGTGGATTTAATTTAAATTGAGTCGATATAAATCATGTAAACTAGTAAAAAGACTTGATTTAAATCAACTCGATTTAAATCATACATTTTAAAGAGCAACTGTCATCTCTGCTATTCCTTTGACCCGCTGTTGACTCACCGATAGTCCCAGTGTTGCAGAATATACAGCCTTGTGCTACATAACTAAGCTCCATTTCATGCTGAATAAACTAAATTATTTATGTATCTTAAATAGAAAACTATCTTACGATAGATTTTTACCCCAAAAGTTTTTTATTAAAATAAATTCAATAAAAATAAAAAAAATCTGATTTAAATAAAAAAAATCCGATTTAAATAAAAAAAATCTGATTTTTTTTGATTTTTTTAAAAACACCATTGATTTTTATCCACCCTGGCTGAGATTAAGTGGTAACATAATTGTGATGGTGGAAGGCCAAGAGGACGGAAGTGGGTAGAATGAAGCAGAGAAGAGAATAGACACGTGCATATTGCTTAAAAATAAAAAAGGGTGTTGATCTGTATTTGAGGTAATTTATGAGGTAATTTAATATATTTTTAAAATATTTTTAATTGGTTTGTTATTTTAAATTGGGGCCAAATTAATATATATCTTTTTATTTGTTTTTAATGTTTGTATTGTATGTTTTTATCTGGCTGTACACTGCCCTGAGTCCCTTGGGAGAAGGTGCGGTATATAAATTCGAAATAAAAAAAAAGAAGAAAAACAGCTATTTAGGAATAAGTTAACCAAACCTTCAGAAATCGGAAAGACACGATCCTATTAGCCTTTCAGAAGGCCCTAAAAACCTGGCTATATTCCTGTGTCTGGGGTGCTGAATATGTTAAGGGCCCTGCTTGTTTATTGCTTCTTCTCCCTTAAACGTCACCCCTTCCCCACTTCCACCTCAAAATCTCTCTTAAGTCTACACTATAGTTTTCATGAAGTTTCCATTCAGAACCATAAAAAGTGGTGCTGTCAGTTTTCAGCCATCATGGTTTCAGGGAGCTCTAATTGTCATGGTATGCGGGAAAGACCTTGGGAGTTGGAGAAAGAGATGATGCCTAGGGAATGGACAGATAAGAGTGGGGAAATCCTCAGCTGCACAATGAACAGAGAAAGAAACTCGGAAAGAATCTTCCTAACAATCTATGGAGATGCTCAATCATCCAAGTTATGGTTATCCCAAAAGGTGCTTTTCCAAAAGGCAACTGGACTTCCTTGGGTTTTTTTTCCTTGAAAACATTTCACTTCTCATCCAGGAAGCTTCTTTAGTTCTAACCGAATTGAAGAAACTTCTTGGATGAGAAGGGAAATGTTTTCAAGGGGAAAAAAAAACCAAGTAAGTCCAGTTGCCTTTTGAAAAACATCTTTGGGACGATCCTCCCTAACTTGGATGGATAGCTCAGCAGACTAATGCGTTGTAATTTAACTCCAGCTGTCTGCAATTAGTAAGTTTGAATCTTGCCAGGCTCAAGGTTGACTCAGCCTTCCATCCTTTCTAAGGTAGGTAAATTGGGGACCCAGTTTGTGGAGGCAATAAGATGACTTTGTAAAAATATACAAAAGTATGAAGGCTATTGCTTAACGCATTGTAAGCCGCCCTGGGTCTCCGGAGAAGGGTGGCATATAAATCAAATTTAAAAAAAAAAAAACTTATCTGGCTGTGAAAAGTGTCACTGGGAGATTTGTACTTTCAGACTTGCAAGATTCCATTAATATATAGCCTTACAATAAAGTAGAATTACCTCAGCTGGTTATGTTTCTTGTCTGGTCTACCTTGGAAGGCTGACACTAATGGCTTCAACATCGGGGGAGGGAAGACATGCAATTGCCAGTTGCTCAACCCAACCTTGCAGCTAGATTTTCAGAGCGTGCTGAGCTGGCTTTTGAGCAAGGTTAATTTGACTTGTTTGCGAATAAGTGGATATGCCGTAGGAAGTGCATTAATATTAAAGAATTGAATGAAAATGATACACGCATGCATGCGTGAGAATGGAGTCACAAAAAGCACACACATCCTCCTCCTTCCCCCCCCTTTCTTTCCACCTACACAGCTGTTCCGTAAAGGCCAACTGAGGTGGCAAGAAAGGGGCAAAGCAGCAGATGAAAACCATCCGTCTCCTTCTTCTCAGCTATTTTCTGCGATGACCAACTAAGCAGAGTAATTGATTGACTGACTAACTGACTGGCAGATTAATTATGTGCCATCAAGTCAGTCCAACTCTTAGCAACCACACAGAAAGATTTTCTCCCTGACGATCTATCTAGGCCAGTGATGGCTAATCTTTTTGCCATCGTTTGCCAAAAGCGGAGGGAGTGGGGGGGTCATGCGTTCCCGTGCCCACATCCATAATTCAATGCGCCCCACCCCCGCGCCCCGCCCACTTTTGGCACGCGATGGCACGATGGGCCCAGTAGGCCTGTTTTTTGCCCTCCCCAGGCTCCAGAGGCTTTCTTAGAGCCTGGGGAGGGCAAAAACAGCCTTCCCAAGCCCCCTGGAGGCCCTCCTGAGGCTGGAAACAGTGGGCCCAGAAGGCCAGAAAATTAGCTGGCCGGCACGTACATGTGCGCTGGAGCTGAGCTAGGGCAATGCTCGCGTGCCCTCAGATATGGCTCCACGTGCCACCTATGGCACGTGTGCCATAGGTTCGCCATCACGGATCTAGTCCCTTATCGATGCTCCCGCCGCCACTGTAACTGAGTCCGTTCAAATTGCTGCTGGTCATCTTCTTCTTATCTTTCCTTCCATCTTTCACAACATTAAGACATTAGAGCAGAAAAAGAAACTTGTCCCCCCTCCCTCTAAGCATCAGGTCTGTTGCTTCAGGAACAAAAGATGAAATCTTATCTCTTCACTCAGATGGTTCAAATTCTGCACATTGTCCAGGTGACAGGCAAGGGACCACTAAGCAGTAGTTTTTTTTTTTTTAAAGTGCTACCCAGTAGT